GGGGAGCACTACCCGCTGCAGCACTTCCAGAAGTGACGGGAATTCCCAAAAAATCCGGGAATTCCCAAAAAAATCCGGGATTCCTGGCAGCGTCCCGAACCCGCCCCAAATCCGCCCAAAATCCACCCCAAATCCTCCCAAAATCCACCCAAAATGCCTCCTGCAGACCTACGGGGAGCACTACCCGCTGCAGCACTTCCAGAAGTGACGGGAATTCCCAGAAAATCCGGGAATTCCCAAAAAAATCCGGGATTCCTGGCAGCGTCCTGAACCCGCCCCAAATCCGCCCCAAATTCACCCAAAATTCACCCAAAATGCCTCCTGCAGACCCCCGGGGAGCACTACCCGCTGCAGCACTTCCAGAAGTGACGGGAATTCCCAAAAAATCCGGGAATTCCCCAAAAAATCCGGGATTCCTGGCAGCGTCCCGAACCCACCCCGAATCCGCCCAAAATTCACCCAAAATTCACCCCAAATCCCTCCTGCAGACCTACGGGGAGCACTACCCGCTGCAGCACTTCCAGAAGTGACGGGAATTCCCAAAAAAATCCGGGAATTCCCAAAAAAATCCGGGAATTCCCAAAAAAATCCGGGATTCCTGGCAGCGTCCTGAATCCGCCCCAAATTCACCCAAAATCCACCCAAAATCCTCCCAAAATTCACCCAAAATGCCTCCTGCAGACCTACGGGGAGCACTACCCGCTGCAGCACTTCCAGAAGTGACCAGAATTCCCAAAAAATCCGGGAATTCCCCAAAAATCCGGGATTCCCGGCAGCGTCCCGAACCCGCCCCGAATCCGCCCCAAATCCTCCCAAAATTCACCCCAAATCCCTCCTGCAGACCCCCGGGGAGCACTACCCGCTGCAGCACTTCCAGAAGTGACGGGAATTCCCAAAAAATCCGGGAATTCCCAAAAAATCTGGGAATCCCAGCAGCGTCCCGAATCCGCCCCAAATCCGCCCCAAATTCACCCAAATTCACCCAAAATTCACCCAAAATGCCTCCTGCAGACCTACGGGGAGCACTACCCGCTGCAGCACTTCCAGAAGTGACGGGAATTCCCAAAAAATCCGGGAATTCCCAAAAAAATCCGGGATTCCTGGCAGCGTCCTGAATCCGCCCCAAATTCACCCAAAATTCACCCAAAATCCTCCCAAAATTCACCCAAAATCCCTCCTGCAGACCTACGGGGAGCACTACCCGCTGCAGCACTTCCAGAAGTGACGGGAATTCCCAAAAAAATCCGGGAATTCCCAAAAAATCCGGGATTCCCGGCAGCGTCCTGAACCCGCCCCAAATCCGCCCCAAATTCACCCAAAATTCACCCCAAATCCTCCCAAAATCCACCCCCAAATCCCTCCTGCAGACCTACGGGGGCTTTTCCCACCCCACAATTCCAGGAATTCCTGGAATTCCCTAAAACCCCCCCCGCGGAATTCCCGAAAATCCCCCCAATAAACGGAATTTCAGAGTCGGAGCCTCGGGATTTCTTTTGGGAACAAATCCTGGGATTTTGGGGCTGGTGGCACCTCGGGTACACCCCCAGAGCTCTGGTGGCACCCTGGGGACACCCCAGAGCCCTGGTGGCACCTTGGGAACACCGTGGTGGCACCTTGGGGACACCCCCAGAGCTGTGGTGGCACCTGGGGACACTTTGGGGCCCCCTCAGTGACAAGGCCAAGGAGATTTGGGGACAAAGAATTTATTGGGGGACACCGAGGTGGCCCCAGAGATGGGGACGGGGATGGTGGGACCTTGGGGACACTGAGGTGACACCGAGGTGACATCAGAGGTGACATCAGGGATGGGGACGGGGATGGTGGGACCTTGGGGACACCGAGGTGACACCGAGGTGACATCAGAGGTGACATCAGGGATGGGGACAGGGATGGTGGGACCTTGGGGACACTGAGGTGACACCGAGGTGACATCAGGTGACGTCAGAGCTTGGCGAAGGGAATGTTGGGGACACCGAGGTGGCACTGGTGGCACTGGTGGCACTCAGGTGACATCAGGTGACATCAGAGCTTGGCGAAGGGGACACTGGGGACACTCAGGTGGCACTGGTGGCACTCAGGTGACATCAGGTGACATCAGAGCTTGGCGAAGGGAACGTCCTCGGGTCCCTTCTTGTCCAGGGCCGCCTGCACCGACTTGGGGATGTCCTCGGTCTGCAGCATGGCCATGTTCCAGGTGGCCTGGGGACATCATGGGGACAGTGACAGGGACACAGGGACAGTGACACAGTGATGGTGACACAGTGACAGTGAGTGACACAGGGACAGTGACACAGGGACACGGGGACAGTGACACAGTGACAGTGACAGGGACAGGGACAGTGACAGTGACACAGTGACAGGGACACAGGGACACAGTGACAGTGACAGGGACATGTCCTCGGTCTGCAGCATGGCCATGTTCCAGGTGGCCTGGGGACATCATGGGGACAGGGACAGTGACACAGTGACACAGGGACAGTGACACAGGGACAGTGACAGTGACACAGGGACACGGGACAGTGACACAGTGACAGTGACACAGTGACAGTGACAGGGACATGTCCTCGGTCTGCAGCATGGCCATGTTCCAGGTGGCCTGGGGACATCATGGGGACAGTGACAGGAACAGGGACACGGCGGAGGTGACAGTGACAGGTGACAGCAACCCGGGGGAGGTGACACTGTTCTGGGGTCAGTGACTGTCCTGGGGAGGTGACACTGTTCTGGGGTCGGAAGTGACACTGTTTGGGGCTGGTGACAGTGACGCGGGGAGGTGACAGGTGACAGTGACAGTGATGCGGGGAGGTGACAGGTGACAGTGACAGTGATGCGGGGAGGTGACAGTGACCTGGGGAGGTGACAGTGACAGTGACAGTGACACGGGGAGGTGACAGTGACAGTGACAGTGCCAGTGACGCGGGGAGGTGACAGTGACAGTGACAGGTGACAGTGACAGTGACAGTGACAGGGACAGCTGACAGTGACAGTGCCGCGGGGAGGTGACAGTGACAGTGACAGTGACAGTGACAGCTGACAGTGACAGTGCCGCGGGGAGGTGACAGTGACAGTGACAGTGACAGTGACAGTGCCAGTGACCCAGGGAGGTGACAGTGACAGGTGACAGTGACAGTGACAGTGACAGTGACAGTGACAGTGACGCGGGGAGGTGACAGTGACAGTGACAGTGACAGGTGACAGTGCCAGTGCCAGTGACAGTGGCAGTGACAGTGCCGCGGGGAGGTGACAGTGACAGTGACAGTGACAGTGGCAGTGACAGTGCCGCGGGGAGGTGACAGTGACAGTGACAGTGACAGTGACAGTGCCGGTGCCGGTGCCGGTGGCACGCACCATGTGCTGCAGCCCCTCGCTGACGGGCCGGTCCCGCGAGTGGAGCAGGTTGACCTTGGTGCCCTGCACGGCCACGGGGCTGCGGGCGGCGATGGCCGCGGCCACCTCCAGCGCCGCCTCCAGCAGCGCCGGCTTGTCCGGCAGCACCCGGCTGGGGACACAGCGTCACCAGCCCGAGCGCAGCCGGGAACAGCCCGAAAGCAGCCGGGAACACAGCCGGGAACAGCCCGAAACCACCCCAGAACACAGCCCGAATACAGCCCGAAACCAGCCCAAATACAACCTGAATACAGCCCGAAACCACCCCAGAACACAGCCCAAATACAGCCCGAACGCAGCCGGGAACAGCCCGAAACCACCCCAGAACACACCCGAGAACAGCCCGAAAGCAGCCGGGAACACAGCCGGGAACAGCCCGAAACCACCCCAGAACACAGCCGGGAACAGCCCGAAACCAGCCCAAATACAACCCGAATACAGCCCGAAACCACCCCGAATACAGCCCAAAAGCACCCCAGAACACACCCGAGAACAGCCCGAAACCAGCCCAAATACAACCCGAATACAGCCCGAAAGCACCCCAGAACACACCCGAGAACAGCCCGAAACCAGCCCAAATACAGCCCGAATACAGCCCAAAACCACCCCAGAACACACCCGAGAACAGCCCGAAACCAGCCCAAATACAACCCGAATACAGCCCGAAACCACCCCAGAACACAGCCGGGAACAGCCCGAAAGCAGCCCAAATACAGCCCGAAACCACCCAGAAACGCAGCCCAAACACACCCAAATACAGCCCAAATACAGTCCGAAAGCAGCCCGAAACCACCCCAGAAAACACCCAAGAACAACCCGAAACCAGCCCAAATACAGCCGAAAATAGCCCAAAACGCAGCCCAAATACACCCCAGAACACACCCAAATACACCCCAAAATACGCCCAAAACCACCCCGAAACGCAGCCCAAATACAGCCAGAATACAGCCCCAAACCAGCCCAAATAGAGCCAGAATACACCCAAAAACACCCCGAAACACAGCCCAAATACACCCGAAAACACCCTGAAACACAGCCCAAATACAGCCAGAATACAGCCCAAACACAGCCCAAATACACCCAAAACCACCCCGAAAACAGCCCAAACACAGCCCAAATACACCCAAAACCACCCCGAAAACAGCCCAAACACAGCCCAAATACACCCAAAACCACCCCAAAACTCAGCCCAAATACACCCGAAAACACCCCGAAACCAACCCAAATACAGCCAGAATGCACCCCAAAATGTAGCCCAAATACACCCTGAAACCAGCCCAAACACACCCAAAAACACCCCGAAACTCAGCCCAAATACACCCGAGAACACCCCGAAATGCAGCACAAATACAGCCCAAAATACACCCCGAATTACACCCAAAATACACCCTGAAATGCACTCCAAATACAGGCAGAATGCACCGAAATACACCCCAAAATGCACCCCAAATACAGTCAGAATACACCCAAATTACACCCCAAATACACACCCAAAATACATCCCAAAAATCCACTCAAAATCCCCCCAAAAATCTCCCCATAATCCATCCAAAATTCACCGAAAATGCCCCCAAAATCCCCTAAAAATGCTCCCCAAATGCACCCAAAATCCACTCAAAAATGACCCTGAAATTGATCCTAAATCCACCCAAAAATACCCCCAGAATCCCCCCCAAAATCCACCCCAAAATCCTCCAAATTCCCCCAGAATCCCCCCAAAATCCACCCAAAAATCCTCCCAGAATCCCCCAAAATCCTGCCAAATTCACCCAGAATCCCCCAAAATCCTCCGAATCTCCCCAAAATTACATCCAAAAATCTACCCAAACTCCACCCCAAAATCCCCCAAATCCCCCCAAAAATCCCCCAAAATCCTGCCAAATTCACTCAGAATCTCCCAAAATTCCCCCAGAAATCTACCCAAAGTCCCCCCCCAAATTCCCCAAAATCCCCCAAAAGCCCCAAACTCCCCCAAAAGCGCAGCCCCACCTGACCAGGCCGCAGCTCAGCGCCTCGGGCGCCCTCATGACGCGGGCGGTGAAGGCCAGCTCGTTCACCAGGCTGGGACAGCGAGGGGACAGCGGGGGGACATTGGGGGGGTTGGGGACATTGGGGGGA